TCATGGCACCGGCCTCCATTCATACAGTCCTCACAGCTCAAACTGCAATCATGTCCAAAGGTGTGATCTAAACAGACTGGAATATGATACATTTTCAGTTAGTTCAAACTGTCTACGTCACTGAAAATGGAGATGAAACATTCACACTTCACACACACACACACACACACACACACACACACTCTATAATCCTTCAGTCCTTGAAGATATTTCTTAAAGTCCCAAAAAAAGACAATGGCAAAGAAATATCTTTTAAAGTAGATGTTATTTTATATTTTCCAATGATACTATGAAATATAGTCTCAAATGAATATTTAGAATACTTAAGAAAGTTTAAAAAGTATGAAGAGAAATTATCATTGATTCCAGATAAAATAATCAATATTCCTGCCATTTGGTGCTCTCCCTCTTCTTGAATTTCAGATAAATAGAATTGTAAAGTATGTGCTCTTGGTGTCACTCTTCTTTCATTGAATGTAACATCTGTGAGACTCACCCATACTGCACTTACACTAATTTTTTTAAGTCTGTATCGTATTCTACTGTATAAGTGTACCATGAAGTGTTTTCCATTCTCTTTTTAAGGGAAATTACCTTCATATGAATAAGGATGGAAAGATTTGATTTCAGTTGTCTTAAGGATTTTTTCATTTCAAGTTTTGCCCATTTCTAGCGGGGTCTCTCAGGCATCCCAATTGAATGTCTGTTATGTTGAGCAAGCCCTCTCTCCGCTGGCAGATTCTGGGCTGCTGACCCTACCTCCCCATCGCCATGATACGGCTGGTAACTGTGCTCAGCTCCTTGCCCTCTTAGCAGCTGCCTTTTAGATTCCCTGACTTCTCTGCCTGCACAGCCCATACATTAGCAAATGGCTCAAGGAGAAAAACAGCAGAGTTATTCCATTTCACCTGTCTGGGTCTCTCCTCTCTAGATCTTGGCCACTCAAGTTCTGGCTGCCTTAGTAGCCCTGAACTCTTTCCATTCAGATTTTCAGTCATTGAAGTATCAGAAGTTTAATGAAGACACAGTAAAGCATTTCTACTTTTATGCAGATGCATTTACTAATATTATTATTGTGATTCACCAAAGCATGAAAATGTTTCTGCCATTCTACTGAATACATCCTGAAGCGATGACCAAGCTCTGTTAAACTACAGCAAATAGAGGGAGAACGAAAAGAGCAGCTCTGTTTGATAAAGAAAAGAAAAGGAAGCAACACACTGGCTGCAAACTGTTACATTTGAGAGAGGAAATGCTAATTTATTTTGATCAGGAGCGATTTGATGCTTGAGTTCTGTTGTGTGGATATATGCATCTAAGAAAAACTGTTCACAATTTTAAGATACTTTCTTGGTCCATTTGAATATATTAAACAGTTAGTGCTCATTGTTTTAAAAACTGGGAAGGATCTAGATTTCAAGGCAATTTAAAGTAAGTTTTTAAATATATAAAAGCGACTTCTAATGGAGTTTTAATAGTCAGAACTGAAAGGTCCCAATCCTCCCCATTATGTTAATTTGAAGATACTTTTCGGCTCCATTTCACTGTATTGCACTTGAACAGCCCCCAACACCGTGTACCCACACCTCTACACACACCTATATAGCAGCGGTTCTCAACCTGTGGGTTGCGACCCCTTTGGGGGTCGAACGACCCTTTCACAGGGGTCGCCTAAGACCATCAGAAAACACATATATAATTACATATTGTTTTTGTGATTCATCACTATGCTTTAATTATGTTCAATTTGTAGCAATGAAATTGGGGGTCACCACAACATGAGGAACTGTATTAAAGGGTCGCGGCATTAGGAAGGTTGAGAACCACTGGCTTCATCTTGGTAGGTGGGAGGCAGAGATGAAGCAACATAATGAAGCAGTCTAGACGGGCTCTTGAACAGAAGGCCTGCGAACCTCACAACTTCTAATTCCTCTTCTCCTTCCTCTAGCTCATCATCATCTAAAGCTAAGACCACACAGGAAAATGGCTGGATTCAACATGCTGGTTAAAAGAAGGAAAAAACCGAGCAAGGGTGGATGAGAGAAATGAGAGAGTTTGAACTAGACAGCCAAGGCAGGGGGCCACTGAAAGGAAGAACTCTTTGAGGCCATTTCAAAAAGTCTCTTGTAAATGAGGGTGAGAAGCAGCTATCACAAAGCTGACACTGCAGCAGAGAGAACAAAAGGGAGAGATCTCAGTCTGTGAGGAAAGGAGAGGACAGGTTGAATGAAGGAATATGTGGCCTCCATTGTTCCTGAAGAAGAAAATGAGGGTGGAAGTAGTTTAGAAGAGACACATGAGATTCTTCACAGTGACTTACAGATGCAAGTTTTTCCATCACTTCCAATTCTGTAGCCTTCCTCACAAGTACAGTGGTATGTTCCCACAGAGTTAATACATACTTGATCACAGACTCTCCTGGTATCCAGACACTCGTCCACATCTAGGAACATTTAAACAATGTCTGCTTTTAGGCACTGAGAGATAAAACAGACATTGTGAAGTCATGGGCATATTTGTGCTCCTGTTGTCACCTTTATTAATTGATGACAATGTACTGTCCTATAGAAAGCTCAGCCTTGGACACTTTCTCAAGTATATCCTGTCAATTTTTTTCTTTCACTCAAGTTTATTGTAGTTCATCTACACAGACAAGGTCTTTCTGAGGCCTTGTTCATGAGGTTTTGATGAGGAATTTAAAACAAAATAAATTCAACGGTCTCAGGCTGTACTCCATTTTGTATAATTTTCATTCATTCTTGAATTATTCCATCTCTGTAATGAAGCATTTATTCCATGCATAATTCTGTACAAGGTTTATGGAGAATTTCAGAGATGGAAGAACTCTAAGCTTTAATTTCATGTGACTGTCCATATCTGAGCCTAGACTTTGGTCAATGTGTTCACAATAGTAAAAGTTTACTGTTGAAGCTGGGTTTCTAAGCTTTGCCTCAGATTATGATACCTTTTCAATTTGGATGCATGTACCCAAGTATGTATATTCACACCATACAATTATCTTTTGGCTGACTTTGCTTAAGAGCAGATGGTCGATGAAATTCAAATTTCTTGGCTCCTGTTAATTGGATTAAATATGGTAAATGGTAATATATTGTACTGTGTTTAGAATATATAGATACCATAACTGTGTTTTCTTTGCTGTTACCTACATTGCAAGGCTGAGGAGCTTGGTGTCTATATGACAAAAAACCAAAAACATACCTATCATCCTCAACATAATTCAGGAATTTGCTTCTTTAAGCAAAGAAACACTATTTTTTCTGAGGCATGATATTCTTATATATGTTGACTTATTAAAAAAGATCATCTTATGTTTCCTTTGATTTGAAGAAAAATGTGGTTCGAAATAATGGTAATGATTATAAAGTGAAAATTTAAAGATCCCATGTTTTAAAAATAAACTTAAAAAAAGTAAATGATAGCAATGGCTCAAATGAGCTCTTCTTAATGTAATGGTGTAAAAAAGTGAATTAACTCTACTCATTAAATTTATACTCTCTTGTGAAAACAAATACATAATCTAGAAACCATCTGAAAGGTAAGTGAACCAATTTTAACAAGTAATTTAGAAAATTATAACATTACATCTTAAAACTTGCATTAGTAAATAGTAGAACCAGGTAGACATTCAAGTCTCTTCAGGACAAGGCCTTCCCTTTCCCATCCTAACCCCTTTCCTCACATGTTCCTCCTTCACTGATTGTCTCATCACACCAGTGATTTAATATTATTTCTCAGGAACTTACCATCACACCCACAACCATCAGAACTGATCTGAAAGCCTTCCTTACAACTGCATTCATAGCCTCCCAAATAGTTGATGCAGAGCTGGGCACAGCAGGCTTCTCCACTCTCACATTCATCAAGGTCTGAAGGGGGAAAGGACATTTCTATTGTTTCAGAGACAGGCATTCCACTGAACTATAGAATTAAATTAAAGCCTCACTTATAAATGCAAATTGTTTTACTACTCAATTTCTATTTCTCAGGCCACATTGTACAGACATCAAAGCAACTATAACACAGAAAGAATGAGGCTCACATTTGCCTTCATGTTTCTTGCATGTTTTTCCTATTGCCTGTCATTTATTTTTAAAAGTATGTAAATAATCTCCAAATGCATTTATAAGCACAGGAAAAGAGATTTCTGCTATTTTTCCAGTTTAAACAGCAATTTGACTAAATAAACAGAGAACTTGAAGAAGAAGAACAACAACATCGAAACAGCTTGAGAGGAAGAGTCAAAAATTTCACTTAGCGAACATTTGAGAGCAAGGAGGCAGTCCTATACTTGTTCTAGGCCTTCAGATGACAGAGCTTTGCAAGCAACTGGAATTCACAAAACTGGGAAGAGAAGTGGCAGCTGCAATTTGGAGAGAGGGCAGACAATCTTTTTAAATATTGTGTTTTGAATTATAGGATATTTCAGAGGCTTTGCTTGAACTTTGCGATGATGCTGTGGCTAGGATGAGTGGGGTCATGGTTTTTCATTTTACTGTTGGTGACATTACCCTGGCATGTCCTATCCAATAAACAGCTTTCTAAGTGATGCTCTTTAAGTGTCCTGCAGCATTGTTATCCCAGAATTCTACAATCCTGAATATTTCGTCCACATACATAACTGCTCTGAGGAAAATAAAAACGCACCAGAATTAAGTCAAATTGAAACCCTTTAGCCAAAGAATAATCTATTTGGCTTGAGTTTTGAGGTGATCATTCCTAACATAACTGTCCAAGGAGTAGCAACAGACTCTTCACCCACTGTTTCCCTCAGGCTAGACGCCTGGGAATTGGGTGGTCAGGGTTTTTGGCTATAGGCTCTTGGTTCAATTCCACCTTGTGTTTGTTGAGCTGGTATGTTGGCTGTCCTGTCAGTGCTGAGTTTACAAAGTCCCATTGCTCCCTAACTACATGAGCAGCCACAGATATAAAAGGTCAATATCTCAATTAACCTTGGAAAGGGTACCAGTGTAAGGAAATGTAGACAAGAGGAAGGAAGGCAAGAAAATGCAGTCAATTATCTAAGGTGAGGGGTCACCATACAACTTCTAAAGGAAGGTCATTTGGACACAAAACATTCTTTCTCTTGCAAAATGTCAGAAGCAGTGCTACTCACAAAATTCTCGGTGATATTTTTTCCTCTCTTTTATTAAACCATCCTTTGTCCTTTGGGTTAAATAGTATGAATAGAGAGGGCAAAATTGCTTTTAATAATTCAGTTTTATTTAATTTAAAACATTATCCTTAATGGGTTTTTAAAAATATATATATTTTAAAGTCTTCTCAAATACTAACAGAGCCTCCAAACACGTATGTCTCAGGATTCCTTGTTCTCAGGTACTAGGAGCACAACTGTATCACAATTGGAAAATGAGCTCCACAGTCTATCATTTTATGATCTATTTAGATTCTTCTTCTATCATCATTCCTCTGGGGTGATTTCTAGCTTGTCTCCTGTAAACCATCTAGTCTGAAACTCACCTGAAACCCCGCCCTTCTTACATCACAAGACTTTCTTAAAATGCTGTGTCCCTTCAACGCTTACATCACCTGTTTCCTAATTTCCAGATCTTATTTGGTAAGATATTTGCTTGCTAATGTTTCCCTTTTTATTTTCCTCCTCATTGATCATCATGTTTTTCTTACATTGGGTAGTATTGCCAATTGCAGGATAATTCACCTATTCATAAAAATTTAGCTCTCATCAAAAATAGAGCTTCATTAAAGCCAGGCAAAACAATTAAAAATTTCAGTTTTTACTTCAGAAAAGCATGAAAATTAAACCTTGGAAAAAATGATCTTTTGTATGTGACCCCCTCATACATAGCTGTTGAACAAACTCAGAAGATTAGAAAAAAATTGTGTTCCTAATATCTAATGATTGTTAAATGTAGAGAGCTTACTGCTGATCCGACACTTGGATTTTCTAGAGCTGTCTTTCAAATTGTGTTAACACATCTCTAGGTTTTAGCCCTAATACATTTTTGCAGTTGGGAAAGACAGGTTGACAATTTGCAGACTGGACAACTTATTTTCCCATTTATTTGTACATTCTCAAATATAAAAAAATGTTGATCCTAAAATAAGCTAAAAAGAAAATTCTTTAATTTCCTCCAGATATGAATATTTTTACAAATCATCCATGACCTTAATCTGTTCTCAGGTAAATAAGCAAAGTTTGTATGTGTACCCTCCAAACAGTTCATTGCCTTACTATAGTGAATATTTGGTCTTTAGGAATGGGTGTTATTTATTGTTGGGAAATGAAATAAACTTAAGCCATAAACAATATAATGTCATGCTGAAATCTCATAAATATGCAATTTTCTATATTTTGACCATGGCAGATGCTATTTTTTTCTAGTTATAAATACGAATTTTACTGAATTGTGCTTTTCAAAGAATAAGGAAAGACATGAAATTGTAAGTCACAAACAAAAGGTTTAGTGAAAAGACAAGTAGAGAGCAAGGAAGGGAAGGAGGAAGAAAAAAAGGAACCCCTTATTTTTTCCAGAGGTACAGGTATTAGCAAGGTAGAAAAATATAAGCAAGTTTTTCATTAAATAATAAGAAGAAATGAAAGCAATGGGTTTCATTAAGGCAGCAACTGTAGACTCAAAAAAATGCAGGAGGCAATGTTAGATCAAGATATACAAGTAATGACATTGTTTTGGTTAAATGATTTATGAAACCAGAAAACTTCAAAATCCCTTGAAGCTCATACTGTCACATAAGAAAAGAAATTCCAAATACTTACACCTTTGAAATTCACCTGTTTTATGATACTCTAGTTTGTCTCTAACCATACTGAATAGCATAAAATGGTCAAACATTTTTTTAGTACTCATAATTTTTAAGAAAGGTCATATAAAGCAACAAATGAAAAACAAGCAAATATGGTACTTAATTCCAGAATAATGGCAAATTGCTTTAGAGGAGCTTGTAGGTGCTCTCAGACACAAAGCATTTAATGATATAGTTTGATGCTCACTCTCCCTGTTTTTAGTAGATATTCCCTTTTCTCAGAAGTTCTAAATTCCACATTCATGATGAAGCAAGGTTGAAGTAAAATTTATTTTTCTCATTGTCTCTAATAATATGAGTTCTAATAATATGTTCAGAAAAGTTATTTATTAAAAATGCATTTGAGTTGGGATTTCCAAAGAATTTTAAAGTTTTCTTTTGGAATGTAGGTGCCTGTCATACCAAAGTTGAACATGCATCCAAGCCATCACCAAGTTGAAAAGGAAATGCAGCCCTAACCGGTTTGGCTGAATGGATAGAGCGTTGGCCTGTGAATTCAAGGGTCCCAGGTTCGATTCCGGACAAGGGCATGTACCTTGGTTGTGGGCACATACCCAGTAGCGAGTGTGCAGGAGGCAGCTGATTGATGTTTCTCTCTCATCAATGTTTCTAGAAACATCATCAATGTTTCTAACTCTCTATCCCTCTCCCTTTCTCTCTGTAAGAAAATCAATAAAAAAAAAATATTTTTTTTAAAAAAAGAAAAGAAAAGGAAATGCAGTCTGGCCAGTGTCACTCAGTGGTTGAGCATCCACCTATGGACCAGGAGGTCACAGTTTGATTTTAATTCCTAACCAGGACACATGTCCAGGTTGTGAGCTCAATCCCTAGTGTGGGACTTGCAGGAGGCAGCCAATTAAAGATCCTCTCTCATCATTGATGTTTCTCGTTCTCTTCTCCCCCTCTCTCTTATTCTCTGAAATCAATAAAAATATATTTTAAAGAAAGAAAAAGAAATGCATATGACTGAGCTTCTGCATGGGGTAGAAAGAAGTAGGGTAGGTGGTAGCATTTGTTGAGTTACAAATTGCATTCAGTGGTTAGACAGGCCTTGGGATATTTTTCTGAAATAAAACTAAGTCCATATATTTTGTTAAATGTTTTAAAGCTCCTTTCACTTTAAAGTAAATATCCAAAGATCATGATGCCTTCTGCCAATTAATATTTTTTTTTACATTTATCTAGTAGCCAGAGACTGTTTGATTTATTTCTCCATGCAGTTTGAGAGATGTAGCTCAGATTACGGCAATAAGTATTAGAGAGGAAAGGGCTAAATGAATCCTGGACAGCTCTAAAGGAAGATGGCATTTACCATACATTACCTATGCATGTTTTCTCATCTGAATCAAGCCGGTGTCCATGGTTACAGGAACAATGGGGCCCACCAAGTGCATGTTCGCAGTGATGTGAACAACCACCATTGTTCTTTTCACAGCTATTGACAATTTCCAATTCAATCCCTTTCCAAACAAGCAGAAGAGGGTTATTAGCATAACAGCAGAGAAACCTGAATATATGTCAACAAGAGGAATACTCTGTTGGGAGGACAACACACTTTATTGGAAATTTATCAATCCTCTACACGTATAAAAGTAAAAGTCTGAGGGGCTATTAAGGATTGCAAATGTCTATACAATATCAAAACACTAATAAACCTATAAGTAATATTAAGTTGAAAAAATGGTGTAGAAAGGGAAATAGTCCACCACTGGACTATTAAACAATTATCTTAAATGACATTAACCTTTGGAGATTCTCAGTTTTTTTCAGAACATAAAAAAAAATGTGTATTGAATCAGTAATCAGAAAGCACAGAGGTTGTCTGCCAGCTGACATTTCTTCTGTTCTCAAGCTAATGGTATGTTATTATCTGTCCTTTCTAGAGGCTAGGAGTACTTGAAAATACTGTTAAAAATAGCCTTGAAACAGAAGTATGAACACAAAACCAATGAATTAGCTGATCATATTTAAATAATATCATTTTAATGTGCTAATTAGTATTGAGGTATATGAAAGTCACTTATTATACAAACATACTATTACTCTGAAAACCAATTTGCTGATCCCAGTACATGTTAATTTGGGGCATTTTGGGTGACATCAAATTCACCATATGGATGCCAATTATATTGAGCACAAAGGCATTATAATCAATCATTTTCAAAGTGAGGAAATGAGAAATTTAAAAATGCTTTGAATCATTGTTAAAAGTATGGAATGTAGGTACTCTGCTATTTTTATCATTGTCCTCTGTTGTTCTTCATTTGTGTTGCTTGGACAGAAACTCTTATTAATGAGAATGTCTACGTTGATTTATTTCCTTCCATTATTAATACCTTAATCTTTTAAAAGAAGATGAGAAAGAACGGCAAGGGTACTTGGGATTGTAGTACTCCTTGAAAGTCTATATTGCCATTGAAACTGCCTAGGTATGTGCTATAGTTCCTGTACAGTTACAGTATAGAAATGATCCTCCCTCATCCTCGCCTCCAGGCTATAGAAGGCAGCTGCCCTATGTGTCCCAGAGCACCTTCCTTCATGCCATCATTATCCTCTATTACCAAGCTGATAACAAATGCTCAAAAATAGGTTTTGAATAATTGAATAAATAAAAAAGAATTATGCTTATCAATTTATTGCTGAAAATAAGAAGCCCTTTGGGTTTAGAAATAGCTATTTTAGGTCTGAGAAAAATTAGAAAGCTAAAGGAAAGATTGAAATAATAAAAGGAACTGATTTTTCATGATATGTTAACATATACTCTGTAGGGAGACATCTTTCAAATTTTGGCTCCTATTGTTATTTTTCTGTGATCAATGCAGCTCTAAGACTTCTGGTAATACTTTACTTTAATTATAAATAATATTATTATAACACCATTAAAATAAAAATATATACTAGAGATCCAGTGCATGAAAATTCATGCACTGGAGGTGGAGGGATCCCTCAGCCCAGCCTGCACCCTCTCACAGTCCGGGAGCCCTCAGGGGCAGGAGGTGACCTAGCAATCAGGGGAAGGTGATGCCCCCATCACAACTCTGCTGCTGCCACTGATGGCAGTAGAAGCCTCAGCCAGCCCTGGTTACCTGAGGTTTGGGCAGCCCTAGGTGGCTGGGCAGTCAATATCCGAGGCTTGCTTGCACCTCTGGCCAGCCCTGGGTGGCTGGGGGCGCTGAGGGAGGGTCCGGCTGCACTGTCTGCTTGCCATCCCCCTAGCGGGGCTGGAAGGACTGGGGGACTCCAGTGGCGCTGAGGGGACTGGGCACCACCATCTTGTGGCTATGGGCACTGCCATCTTTGTGACTGTGTGATGGTTAATTTGCATATTGCCTCTTTATTATATAGGATGAGACTAAAACAAAGGTATACTCAGATCTATAACTTCCCAATAGAAGTAAGCTAAGATTTTGTGTCCTTGATACAGATGATGATGTTTAACCATAGTACTTAAAATTTTTCACTTTAAAATACTTTTTAAAATGACTCTTGTAGATTCTCATAGGTAAAAAGTAAGTATTATTTACTCTCTATATCTCTTTAAATGCATTAAATTTAAGTTAAACTACATATCGCTTGGAAATTTGGGGAAGTCTTATTTAACCAATTTCTAATCATAAAATAGTGATAGTTCATGCACAGTGCACCATGGGGATCTGATGTTGTGAGAGCCTCTGAGAAGAGATTATATAAATATACAATATTATTTTCCTAGTAAAGTGTTAAAACAATATTTTCCTAAAATATACTTGCTATATAAAGAGCATATAATTCATTGTTAAACATTACCATGCTCTCAAAACATTTACTCCACCTACAGATTTTGAAAGAACTCAAAATACTAGTTTTTATCAAGAAAGTTCTGTATGTCAGTTAGTAAATATTGAAGTTTTGTGAGAGCTGCACAAAGAATTTGGCTAGCCAAATATTCACTTAAGAAAAACAAATCTAAAACCACACTTCAACCAAATGTATTCAACTCTAGGGTAAACTGCTTTCCCAAGTAAATTCTATAGAAAGCCTTTAACTCATAAGTCATTAATACTGGCCCCCTCTTTCATGATAATTGAGAATGCACCAGTCATATTACAAGAGATTTTATTTCAGATATTTGTAAAATGTTCCTGGCTACATTAAAAAGTCAAAATATTAATAATAAGAAAAAACCCATCCATGTTTCTCTGCCTCAGGGCATTAAGCAAAAGGCTCACTTCAGAAGAAGTTGTATCCTAATTAGTAGTAAATTTTATTTAGTTTGTTGTTTAGAAGACATATCACCATAGCAAAATTGCACTGTCTTTAAGCAGTAGAAATATAGCAATAGACCTTAAGACTTGACTGATGACCCAGGCATTAAAGAAACAGAATTTTATGCAGTGGAGGAAAATGAAGAATTTAAGACCCTAAGTATGTCTGTTTACGAGAGAGCTTAGGTAAAAAAACATGAAATTATTTATTCTATTTATTACTATTTTTACTCTTCTCCATTAATTAAAATTGATAGAGAGATATATGTATAAAAATATATGATGAAGTTGAAAGGATAGTATATTTGGAGCCCAAAGACCCCAGTTAAAGTCCCAGTTCTCACTTACTAATTTTGTATCATTAGCTTTTTGGCTTCAACATTAAATAGATAGTTCACTAAGTTGTGGAGAAATGGAAAGAGCATCTTTGGAACTGAGACTAGAAATCAGCAGTTTGTTTGGGGTCAAGTTTGCAATGCCTATTAGTTAAGTAAATAGAGATATTGAGTACATAGTTTGGCATATTCACAGGTAATTAAAGAAAAAAGTGGAAATATAAATTTAACATTGAGAGAGTGGCCAAAGATGGAGAGAAAAACCTGAATAGTGTGAACACATGAAAGAGAAGAAAGTATTTCAAGAAGAATGGGAGTCAATTGTGTTGAAAGCTGCTGAGAGGTCAGATAGTATAAAAGCAGAGAAGGTAACAGGCAGTCTGGTAACACGGAGGTCCTGGTTGACCATATTGAGGTAGAGGTGATAATCTGATTAATCTGAGATGATGAGACAATATAAGATGAAGAGGAGACACTGACAATGTTATAAAAAATCTGCTGTGAAGGTGATCAGATGAAGGCTCTGGTGACACGTAGGCCTGTCAGAGTATACTTCCAGGATAGGAGCTATTGGAGTATGTTCACAAGCTGCTAAGAATGACCCACTAGATAACTGCACACAAGGATCTTCAGATAATGAGAAGGAATGAAATCCAAAGTACAATGGAGAAGACAGTCTTTGATAACAGTAGGTCCACTTCCTTCATAGCAATGGAGTCAAGGCTTCTCCATATAATTCTACGCACAATTTCAAATCAGTTGGTAGCTTGAATCATGGTTGGTGACCATTTTATTGATAACATCAGAGGTAAGATAAGAATAAAGGCAAAAGGGTGATATAAAGATTTTGAAGAGAAAGGAAATATTCAACATTGGTTTTGATGGTGATGAAAGTGGACATATTCCATAGTATAGTTTTGTCCAGCCATGTTGCTGACTCATTTGAGACTTACAAATTTCAAATAAAGCCAATTAACATGGTTGTGTTTTAAACCTAGCAAAACTCTTCTGCTAAGGTATAGGTGTGAAGTGGAGGAGGAAGGGAAGAAGTCACTGAGAAAAAAGGTAGAGGATGAAGATAAGGAAGAATAAGAAAATGTTGATATACCATGATCACATGAGAGGCAGAGATAAGGAAAGCATACAAAGAAATATGAAAGCATATTATTCTGCCATTTGAAGAAGAAGAGGGGAAGAAGAGGGTGGGTGACGATGGGAACTACTGAGGCAGAGAACATGAAATATGAAGGAATCTGTATCAGATGGTTTTAAAGTTAGTTAAGTAGAAAGTGTGTTCCTCTATAGATTAATCAGTAGACCAGTGAGGAAGACATGAGAGAAGGAAATAGCTGCAAGAGCTATTAACAGCAGCTAATAATTCAGTTCATTAACATTTTAATATATTTGTAGTAAGGGATACATTACATTATATAACAGCCTAGGTGAGAAAGAAGCAAAGGTTAGATGACAGAGATCATAGGAGCAGAGGATGAGTCAGTGAAAGAGAATGAAAAAGTGGAAGGAAATGCTTAAAGAGGCATGAGAGAAAGGAATAAAAAATGGGGAGAACAGAAAAGGGTTGACAGGCAAGGTACTCTTTACAGAATCCAGTGTCTGATATTTTGCTACAAGCTAGAGCTGCTCCTTGTACTGCTGGTTCCTTCCCTCCAACTAGTTCCTTTTCCTTGAGCTTTACCTTGGAGTTACTAGAGTTCGATAAATACTGCGTGGCAGAAGGGATGAAGAAAGGCAGACTCTTCACAGTAAGAGCCATGGGTCTAAGGGAGCTCCATGTCAGAGGACTTGAGACTTAGCCCTTGCTGGCTACACTGGGTGTCACTATGCTGACCATTTTCTTTTAAATTTATATTTATTGTTGAAACTATTATAGATGTCCCCTTTTTCCTCCATTGACCCCTTCTAGCCCACACCTGCCCCTGCCTCAGGCCTTCACCACATTATTGTCTGTGTCCAAGGGTTACGCATATCCTATATAATAAAAGAGTAATACACAAATTGACCCTAATGGCAGAACAACCTGGGAATGACCGGCTGCTATGATGCACACTGACCACCAAGGGGCAGACACTCAAAGGAGCAGCTGTCACCTGGTGGTCAGTGTGCTCCCACAGGGTGAGCTCTGCTCAGCCACAAGCTGGGCTGAAGGCTGCGAGTGCAGCGGCAGTGGCAGGAGCCTATTCCACCTCCTCGGCAGTGCTAAAGATGTCTGACGGATGGCTTCGGCCCGCTCCCCATGGGGAACGGGCCGAAGCCATCAGTGAGACATCCTCCAAGGACTCCTGGGCTGCCAGAGGGATGTCTGACTGCCAGCTTAGAGCGGGCCTAAGCCAGCAGGTGGGCATTCCCCGAGGGGTCTGAGACTGGGAGAGGGTGCAGGCTGGGCTGAGGGACCCCTCGAGTGCACGAATTTGCATGCACCAGGCCTCTAGTATGTATATAGTTCTTTGATTGGTTGCTTCCCACCCACCCCATGCCATCCCTCTGCCATTCAACAGTCTATTCCATATTTCTATTTCCATATGTCTCTGGATCTATTTTGTTCATCCATTTATTTTGTTTTTTAGATTCTACATATTTTCTATTGACTCTGGGCCCATTTCTTTAAAATAAATAAAGGGTTTGAACTTCTAAGCTCTCATCCCTACCACATCCCAGTGGCAAACATTCTCAGGAGCTTTGCATTGGCAAGATATTCAGTGTTGTTCTTTCATTACTCTTGTTTAATACTTGTCAAATGTCACACATTCCCAGGGCTGTGATTGCTGCCACTTACTGTAACACCGTTTTCCATCAGCTCCCAGCTCAGAGCCAGGGTGACAGGCACAAGTGAAAGATCCCACTGAGTTCACACAGCGATGGCCACAGTGAGCAAGCCCTTCTGCACACTCATTTATGTCTGCATAGAGAGAAAGACACAGTGGCTGTCTTTGGAGGTTGAATTCTGATTTATGTGTAAACTATAAAAATTAACTAAAGAATTCCTTCCCCTTCCACCCCCATGTCCAGTGTAACAGTAAAATATCCCAATGAATCCATATTTACAAATAAACTAACTGCTAATGACATTAATTCTAGTGTAGGCTTATGCTCTCAAACACTTATTTCTATTATAACCTACTAGTATTTATTAATTGGTAGAAAGAGAAAAGAACACAAATAAAAAATATAGACATTCTCTATCCCCTAATAATATAGGTAGAAGTCATTACAATTTGTCTTTGGAATATATACTACATTCATAACCAAGTATTATATTTCCCTGATTTAAGGTAGTCAGTACGTGTGGCCATAGATAAGGCAGGTTTGAGGCCTTCATATGTAGCAATCTACAATATATGTTGCACTTATGACTGTCCCTAGGCTGTGCTATTTAAACAGTGGTGCCCCCTCTCCTGACACTGAGAGCCAAGTCTATTCAGTGTCACTTGATTTTGTGGCCCGTGTAGTCCTTGCTCCTTCCCTTTAGATGAATAGATCTCACCATCATTTTTCCCTCCTAGAAGGTCCTCCTTGTCATCTGCACCAGGGCACTTAAGAGAAATGCCCATTACGTAAAACCCTAAGTAGGCAGTAATTAGGGGGATAGACTTTCTAAGAAGAATGGTTTTACATAAAAACTTTGAAAGGGATTTTATATATATAGATATAGGTGTATGCACATATCTACATATGTATATATCTATCATTTCCCATAAATATTTAACAGATCCTATTTTGTACCAGGTGCTGAGCAAGGCAGGTCCTATGTAAACAGAGGACAAAACAGAAACATTTTCTGTCAGAAAAGTGTGTTAACACAGTCCATAAAAAATTCTATGTTAGTTTTGGCTTAAAGAAAAAAAGCACAACACACCTAACAGCACTCTTTAATGCTTTTTCATTTTCTCAAAATATTTATCAGTCCCATAAGTCAGGAAACGTTTGATATTTTTTATAATTAATCCAAATATACCATTTCTCATGTCATGAAAATGTTATGATAAAATGAAGGATTCTGCAATTTCTCAGGAGTTATTAAAACAAAACACTGTCCCACAGGAATAACTTCATTTATCAGTTCTGGTCATCAAATAATTTATCACTTCATCTTTGAATTGAAGTATGGCTGTTTTGCTATATCTAGGAAACAGAAATATGTAACCTTGAATTTGTAGCTTTCTTCCCTCCCTCCCTCCCTTCCTTTTCTTCCTTTTTTGTTTCTATTGCCCCTAACTCTAAGAACACTTTCAGACATACTTGGTTTTCAAAGGTTATCCATACCTTCTGTGGCCTAAAATAAAATGAAAAACTTCCCTATGTGGTTATGGAAGGTTTTGAAATATTAATTCTGGAACTCACTTCAGAATGAGAAACAGAAACCCAAACGCATTAATTCTGAAGCTACCCCAGACATTTCTTTGTAATTAAAAATGTCTCTGAGTTTTTATAGTATCATAAAATGCTTTTCAGAATGATCAAATAAGAGTACAAATGTTCCTTTTTAGGCATAAATGAAAACACCTTTCTCCTAGCTGCTCTAACTATTCAAACTACATTCCCACAAAATTTCAAACAATTACATAATTAAGCTATCAGATTAATTTTCCTACCTCTGCAGGCCTTTTTGTCTTCAGACAGCTGGTACCCTGGGTGACAGGCACACCTGGCCACTCCATTCTCACTCTGACAGATGTGGGCACATCCATTCGCACCTGTGCAGGGGTCCATCTCTAAAAGCAATTAAGCAGTGATAGTTTGCAATTAATTAATTGAGAAAGTTATATAGAGTGGAAGTGTGGAGAAAGGTAAAGAGGGACCTGGGGCCACTGGGTTTCTCACATAAAGATGGTGAGGACACTTGGAAATTTTTTCCCACTTCAGATGCAACTAATTCATCAAAACGTTTCCCACTGTGTGACCTGAACTCCAAAGTCTGAACAAATCAAAACATGGATCAAGGCCAAAGAAGAAGTAGCTTAATTTCACTCTTCCCAAAAGTATACCTGGTGCCCAGAGTTAAATGGAGTCAGCAGAAAATCCTTCATACACCTTTGCTCTTCCCCCACCTTCTCTCTCCATCTTTTCTACAACTTTGAGCAGCAGAATCATCCTTACACAAATCTTTTTACCACCTCTAGACCTTCTCTGCCTCACTGTGTGAGACAAGGCCAGCTGGAGAGACAGGGTCAATTCTTAGCTACAGCTGCCATGGAAACGAAAGAAAGAAGTCCAGATCCCTCTGGAATTAGCCAGCCAGCCTCCTTCTTTCCCTCACTTGCTCCCGTCTTAGTATTAGTTATAGTCTCTGAATATCCAAACTAATGTGAAGCCACACATCCTATCAGGAACATCTCCACACAGAGCTTATGGAATTTATGGGTGAAGTGATTCTGGTCTGGCTTTGGGAATCCAGCCTTGTCTACATTAAAGGTTGCTAGGGTGGGACTGCAGTCCCCCATATGTAAAAAATATAATGGACAATACAAAGAGCAAAACAATGTATAAAGCTACCTTATCTCCACATTCTCCCCTTTTAATCCAATCACTACCATAGATAAATGCTTTCATGCATTTCTTGTAAATCCTTCCAGACTATGAAAATATAAGTAATAAAATATCTATCTATCATCTACCTATCTATCTATCTATCATCATCTCAGATGCAATAGACATTGTTTTGCTCCTTGCTTTTACATAAGGAGAGGTTGAGTTGAATATGCAGACCAATTAAGAAGAGTATTTCCATTTATTTTAGGTCTTTAATTAATTTCAACAATGTTTTACAGATTTCAGTATATAACTTTTGCATTGCTTTATTAAATTTGTTCTTACTCATTTTATTATTTTTGATGCTATTATAAATAGAACTTTTTTTAAATTTTACTTTCAGATTGTTCTTTACTAGTGCATAGAAATCCACTTGATTTTTATATGTCGACCTTATTTCCTGCAACTTTGATGGATTTTTTATTAGTTCTAATATTTTTGTCAGCGGATTCCTTAATATTTTCTACATACAAGATGATTTCATCACCAAATAGAGATATTTTAACTCCCCCTTTCTAATCGAGGTGATTTTTATTTTATTTTCTTGTCCTTTTTGCTCTGGCTATAACTTCCAGTAAAATGTTGAAAGAAGTGGTGTGAACAGATTCTTGTCTTCTCCTGATCTTGGGTAGAAAATTTCCCTAATTAAGCATAATGTTCACTGTGTGTTTTTATAGGTTTCATCTATCAGATTAAAGAAGTCCTCTTCTATTTCCAGTTCATTGAGTTATATTTACCACAAAAGGATATTTGATTTTTTAGTGTGTCCCCCCCCCCGCATCTATTGAGATGATAATATGTGTTTGTCCTTTATTCTATCAATATGGTATATGACCTCAACTGATTTAACCTTGTTTTCTTGAGAAACATCCTATTTGATCATAGTGTATATTCCATTTTATATATTGTTGGATATGGTTTCCTTGTATTTTGTTGAGGATATTTATACTTATACTAGTGGCCTTGTGCACGAAATTAGTGCACGCGTTCCTCAGCCCAGTCTGCGCCCGCCACTGCCACTGTGCTCACCAGCCTTGAGCCTGGCTTCTGGCTGAGCAGCGCTCCCCCTGTAGGAGCACACTGACCAGCAGGGGGCAGCTCCTGCATTGAGCATCTGACCCCTGGTGGTCAGTACACATCATAGCCACAGGTCATTTTGCTGTTTGGTCAATTTGCATATTAGTTTTTTATTATATAGGATTTATATTCATATTCATATTCATATTGGTCTGCAGTGTTCTTTCTTGTTAAATCCTTGTCTGGTTTTTGTATCATGGCAATAATACTGGCCCTATAGAATGAGTTGGGAAGTTTCCTCTACTTTTCTACATTTTGAAATAATTTGTGAAGAAGTTACATTTATTGTTCTTTAAATGCTTGGAATATTTCACCATTGAAACCATCTGGGCCTGAGCTTTTCTTAATGGAAAGTTTTAAAAATTACTAATTCTATCTCTCTACTTATTATACATCTAACCAGATCTTCTATTTTTTAGAAGTCTGATTCAGTAGTTCTTGTCATTCTAAGAACTTGTTCATTTCATCTCAGTCGTCCAATTTGTTGTGATACAGTTCAGTGTTACCTTATTCTCTTTTTTATTTCCTAAGGGTCAGTAGTGATGTTCCCTCTTTCATTCATGTTTTAAATAATTTGAGTCATCTCTCATTTTTTCCTTTGTCACTCTAGCTAAAGGTTTCTCAGTTTTACTTATCTTTTCAAAGAACCAATTTTGGGTTATATTAACTTTCTCTCTTATTTTTCTATTCTCTATTCCATGAATTTCTATACTAATAATTATATTTGCTTTCCTTTTATTCTTACCTTTCCCTATCTTTTTCCTACTTGTGTTGCTTCTGCCTAGTATCAGTTCGCTATGAAAGTCTTAAATTTAAGTCTACAGATTCAATCTGCCCCCACATTTGACCCTGCCCTCCATCCTTGTTGGACCTTTTTGGTTTTGTTTGCTTCCTTCATTGCATCTGTATGTTTTGTCACAGAGTGAGAAGATGTTGACCTATACAGCCATATTTATATTAGAAACTTGATATTTTTAATCCATACCCCCTTGTCACTAGCTCTCAAGACAATGAGTAGGTAACGTCTCCTCTTACCCTTGAAAAATGAGGGATTGTTTCTACCAGAAGCAAGATTATAAAGTAGATTTCAATTATCTTTGATATGTTTTTCTCATCAACCACTACATCTGGGAACCTTTTCTCTAAACTTACTTTAATTTCCTATTGTCATTAATGCCTTCTTAATGCCTAAGGTCTTTAACTATGAGGTGTTGTTACCATTCCAGAAAAGGGCTAAATATAACCTCCCTATAGCAAATCCCAGTACTATCAAAAGCAATTTAATGAAGAAAGATAACCTTTTCAACAAATGTATAGGCAACCAAATAAATCTTGACCTAATTTTCAGATCTTAAAAAACTTAACAAAAAATATATTAAAAACTTAAATGTAAAAAAATAACTTAAAAAAATCGGAAAAAAAATCAGCCTTGTTAATACCCCTAAAACTGACATCAATCCAGATAAAAAATGTATAAATAAACTGGCATATTCATACCATGCAATACTATAAACTACTGCTACAAGCAATAACTTGGATGAGTCTCCAGAGAATTATGCTGAGTGAAAAAAGCTAATCCATAATAGTTACATATTATGTAATTCTATTTATATAACATTCTTGAAATGACAAATTATAGAAATGGATAGCATAGTATTCGTCAGGGGTTAGGGAGGGAATACGCATGAAAGAAAAGTGATAATGGCTGTTAAATGGCAACATGAGGGATCCTTGTGGTAATAAAAAAAAATCTGAAAATCCTGACAGTGTCAATATCAATATCCTGGTTGTGATATTGTTTTGTAATTTTGCAAGATGTCACCATTGGGAGAAACTGGAAAATGTATATGAGCTCTCTCTATATTATCCGATAAAACTGCAGATGAACCTACAATTATCTCCAAAAAAGTTTAATGAAAAAAGCAAAGCAATATGAAAACAAAAT